TTACAAATATATAAAATTATTTAAATAAATATTTATTTAAATATAATTTATAATATATTTCATCAGATATATGTATTTAAAATTAAATCTTTCTCTACATTTTAAAGGCACAAAATAATAATAATACTAATAATAATTACAATAAGAAACCAAAAAATAAATATAAAATTAAATTAAACAATAATTATATAATTCTATACTTTTATTATATGCATGCATTTTCAGATTTACAGTCTTTATCTACACTTTTATGCCACAAGATGCCCATTGTCACCCATCCCCTAGCTGCACCAAGGAAGCAGGTTTTATGGATTCAGTTGTAATGCTAATGAGGAAGGTCATGGTTTCATGTCAATGCCATTGTGTGCTTTCTTTGTGGTAGTGTTGTCAAAAGTACCAATGTTAATACCAGTCCGTACTGAAATTTAAAAAATGTGAGGATACCAGCATTTCCCGCTAGCATTTTGAGCGCTGTTGAGAAGATTCTTAAACACCTCTGATTGGTCATTGTGTTTACACGCTGATTAAAATAAATCTATTATTTTACAAATAGATTTAAAGAGATAAATAGAATTAAATGTAATAGATAAAAAGATTTAATAAATATTTAATAATACTATATAATATTTATTATATTATTAACATTTATTACATATTATAATATAATAAAATAGATTAGTTAAATTGTTAGATTTAAAAGAGATAAGTAGATATAGTATTTATATATCATATGTATTATATTATTATTGTTTTTATTATATATTAAAATAATATAATTTTATATTTAATAATAAATATTTAATAAATGGATAGATTTAAAATGGGTCTCTAAACGTGCGCTCGCGCGAGGGGCGTTAACGTATGACGTAAACGTGGTGACGAAAGCAACCGGGCGGGAACACGGATCAATCGGTTCATTCTAATTCGTCAATGAATCATTTGGTGCGATTTGCGAACCGATTTAAAAGGTTAATTGAAAAGAATCAGTTCGTTCTTGAATCAGACACCGCTTCTGCGTCTCGGAGCACGTGATATATTATAAGGAGTAACGATATGTTTTATGAAATGTAGTGAAGTAAAAAGTACGATCTTATGCTTTGGAATGTAGTGAAGTAAAAGTAAAAGTTACTCAAAATAAAACGACTCCAGTAAAGTACATATACTTGAAAAATGTACTTAAGTACAGTAACGAAGTAAAGCTACTCCGTTACTGTCCACCACTGAATTTCAGTACCAACTGGTACCGACATTGGTACTTTTGACAACACTACTTTGTGGTGATTAACAAGTACACACTTCTGCCATATCATCCAATTCTGCAGATTAATTATCCTCTGTACTGCTTTGGCAACATTGTATTTTGGCAGACGTGCTGATAAAGCATCATTGATGAGAGAGAGAGAGAGAGAGAGAGAGAGAGAGAGACCAGACAGATGGTCACAGCGGGTGGGTGCAGTAAAACTTGTGACAACAGCCATTAGTGCTACAGGAGTCTGAGACAGAGGACAGATAGTGGGATGTGTGAACATGTGAATGAGGGAGAGAACGAGTGAGAAACCTAAACGCAACAGAGGAGAAAACCAAGACATAAGTGCTATAGACAGTCAACACAACATTATATGTAGACATACAGACCATGCTATGGCATCAAAACATGCCACTTTGCTCTGTCTTCTAGTTTCCTATGTTCGTGAGAAGCTCTGAAATACATACATCATATGTGGTCTTATTGTACATGATTCATCAGTGTGTGTTATTTTTAAAAAGATAAATGTTTGGCTACTGCATGTTCAGAATAGCACACTACAATAATACTCAAGTTACACTTACACTTGCATACTATACTGAACAAATACACTGTTCAGTATAGTATGCAGCAATGCCTGTATGTATGTCTGGAATCTAATGTTTTGTGCATAACTGAGATTGTTGTGGTTTACCCAGTTGTAGTAGGCTACAAGTACTCACTAAAACAACCTGATTTAAAGAGGATCCAGATGCGGTTAATTGTCAATAAATTGCACTAAAATTGAACATACTGTATAGCAGATTCGACAGCTTGAATATCCTACCTCAAAATGTCTCTATTCCACAACTCAGATGAGTGCTACGAGCACACCGTGAATGATCAATCTAACCCAGAGTCATGAGGAGATCTGCATTACTACAGTGAGAAAATTATTACACCAGGTGCTGTTCATCAATAGGTAACCAAGCATGATACTAATTCCAATGAATCTATTTTGAATTTCCAGAAATCAGAGGTTAAAACAAAATCCTATGGCTGCATGGTTATACCAGATCTATTCAGCTGTTTTAGTATGTGAAAAAGACATCTTCAAACACTATTACTGTCACTTTAATGCCTTTTTCTTATTTCATGTGTCACATGCTTGTGGCTGTGGCCACAAGTCATAAACAGCAATGGGGTAATACTGCAAGCTCAGTCTTTTTATGAGACTCAACTCGCACTGCCAGCATCATTTAAACATTTCCTTGAATGTCACTTCCCTCAAAGTTACAATCAGCTCTAGCTCTAGAAGGTCTATCTGAGGCCGTGGTGTTGGGTAAACAAGACTGCCAGGATCACTCAGGTCAGTGTTTAAGGTGACATGTATGTGTCGAATGAGAAAAAAGAACAAGATGGTGTACTTACAGCTTCTACTTTTGCAATTGTCAGCCAACCTTGACTTATTTGGTTTGATTTAACACATGTAATTTCTACTGTACCATTGTGGATTGTACCATACTTCTAAGAAATTACATATTGCTTACTTTGTACAAAGTGTTTCAGAGGTGACATACTGCCTGACAGATGGACATACTGGAATAAGAATTTTTTGTTACCATTTTCCCACAGAAGTCCTTTTAAACCTCTGTGAAATATCTTTGCACCTCAGGCCAGCAATGTTTCATCCTCTATCGAGAGTATCAATGTACATCTGGGTCTCTGAGACTGTTAACATTGATAACCAAACCTAAAACAAAGACCAGAAATAGATATAGGAAGTGACACTAAGTGGAAACAAATTTTTTCAATTCCACATTTTTTTGCCACTAGCAGAAATTAAATGAAGTTGCTGTATCTTCTCTGTTATCACTCACCAGATTTCTGTTAGAGTCTGTTAGGGATCAGATCACATCAGCAGCAATGAACGCATACCTGCTGTTTGCACTTTACTAAAATTGCACATTTCAGCAACAAGCCTGTATATTAAACTTCACTATAAGCAACTCATATTGCACTATAGACCAATTTGGAGTAGACATCACAGTTACGTCACTTGCAGCTGCGCGCGCATTGTGGTGGCAGAAAAACATTGGGAACAAGTGGAGGGAAACGAGTAAAATCCATGGAATAAGAGAAAAAATGTATTGTTGTGCCCTTGGATGTCACAATCGGAATGCA